CTGCTACTTCGACCATCACTTCAGTGTTGGGTGAGACACCATGGAAGAAATGCTGCTACTTCGACCATCACTTCAGTGTTGGGTGAGACACTATGGGAGAAAGGGTGCTACATCGACCATCGCTTCAGTGTTGGGTGAAACACCATGGGAGAAGTTAAAGAACGATATTGCTAAGAAAGACTTGGACCATTTCTTGAAGCAGGTAACTTACTGGAACGACTGGAGACAAGAGCTGGTGGTGTAATGCCTTACACTGATTTTGGAAGGTCTCGTACTTGACTCTCTCAAACACTTCAATAAGAAACAGTTTTGTGAATTGGTGTACTCTTGTTGGTCTTTGTGAATTTAGTGTAGTTATGCTGGGTTGTACCACCTCTCAGAGAACTTGGCCACTTATGTGAACCACTTACACAGGAAGATAATAGCAGATTGTGAAGATATTCTACTCGACAAATGTTTCAAGAGACTACAGAGTAAAATAACGTACGTCACTTAAACATTAGGTAAGAATCAAGGCATTTGTTCATTTACTAAATTAATTTCATATGCCGAACATCTTGATGATACACAGGCTGACAAACGTACGATAATATCTGTACTGTACCTTCTAAATGTCAATATTATGTTGACTTTAAGCCTGTTTGTCGTGAGAAGTTTACTGAACTGTGACCTGCAGTCTTTTATCATGAAGTCTACAACTGTATAATTTCTTTGGGCATGATGTAATGTTTCACTGATTGACGTAATGTTTCAGTGATCTGTCAAACTTATCATTTTCCCACTAAGTTCAGTATTTGTTGTAAAAGATGTTCAAGAAATATCTTAAGAAGACCAAAGCACCATTTTTTTAAAGTGAAATAAAATACCCAAGTTGATTTTGGTTAATATTCTCTTATTTTTAAGCAAGCTAAGAAACTGAAGACTAAAATATCACCTTACTCAGACTTAGCTAGATAGACCGAAAGTTTCGTATCAGTGTGATAACATTGAAGGCGAAGTTCGTCTTAACTAAATCCACTTCAAATAAGCTTAAAGTTTTTTATTCTCTCAAAGGCTATGCTTATCTGAATATTTTATAATGTAAATAGTGGAAAAACTTCTCATACATCATTTGTATATTTGATGTTCGAGCGTTACACACAAACTAATTGTACAAATTCCTCTACACTTCTAGAGTTGTATTAATTCATTTCACTCAAAATAGAAGGAACGTGTAACGGATATATAACTATCGTATCCTGTTATTGAATCTTTGGGCAGAAATAAATGAATACAAAAGGAAAAGAACAAATAATGAGAGGTTTTCTCAGTTTTTGATTCTAAAATTTTCATAAATGTGAAAATGACAACATGGAATCGATGAATATCTAGAATCGTTC